TTTTCCAACAAACCTTGTAAATTGATCGTCATGTCATTCTATAGCAATCGTTATTTTGATCATGTTATTGTCTCAAAATAGGCACAAGCATTCACTTTTTGGTGTCTATGTGATAATTGCCCGTCTTTCCTTCTAAGCCCATAAAAGACTGTTCATTTAAAATAAATTTACTTTTGGTGAGCGCGAAGGATCCTGTAACATCGATCACGGTACAGGCTCTTTGCCGAACAAATGACAGCGGCTAGTCATTTGTTTTAACTTACTCACCATTTGTCGGGGTGTCCTACTTCCCTATGACCGTTAATTTGTTACTTTTGTTTTAAATCAAACGTATTTATTTCATTTTTAATATCACATATTATCACTTTTTTTTTCTTTTATTGCTTAGATGTGTGGACGAGCTCACAGCCCACCTGGGCCACCACAAAGGACATCTGCTAGAATTCTTAAAAGCTTAACCACAATGTTAGTCATTTAAATTAAGCAAAGTGCCAACCCGATTTATTTGGTGCATAATCACTATTCAATTTCGACTTACAAGAATTCTAACTATTCTCTTGAATTATTTTTTTGTTGCCCTTGTAGGCAGACGAGCATACGGCCCACCTGATGGTGAGTGGTTACCGTCGCCCACGGACTTCAGCAATACCAGGGGCAGATCCAAGCCGCTGCCTACCGCAGATATAGACTATTATATCTGTTTATAAACTAATATACGTAAATATTCAAATAATTATGCGTACGTGATTAAATATTATTAATTATACTGGTGGTAGGACCTCTTGTGAGTCCGCACGGGTAGGTACCACCGCCCTGCCTATTTCTGCCGTGAAGCAGTAATGCGTTTCGGTTTGAAGGGTGGGGTAGCCGTTGTAACTATACTGAGACCTTAGAACTTATATCTCAAGATGGGTGGCGCATTTACGTTGTAGATGTCTATGGGTTCCAGTAACCACTTAACACCAGGTGGGCTGTGAGCTCGTCCACCCATCTAAGCAATAAAAAAAAAACCTATGCAAAACCTTATACAATACGGTCACATTGTGAAGCCATAACTATACAAGTTTTTGAAGCTTCAGTTATCTACAGACTCCCCAATGTACGATAAACGAATAATTATATTAAACTCAAGGCGCGTATTTAATATCCTTTATACTGAATAAGAATATTCTTAGTCCAGACTATAGAATATAAAATATGTTTCGTATTAATGCCGTCTGCGTCTACATAGCACTTGCGAGACTGCATTCAATGAGTGACGTAAAATATTATAATTCATAAACCTTCATATAAATGTCTAAAGGGAGTAAATAAAAAGGCATTTACGTACATACATACTCGTATATTAATATCTCAATTATAAACAGTTAACAGGTTTCCAATTCTAATGAAATTCATAGAATTTCCAAAGATAAACAATGTCGATAAACGGATAAATTACTACATCGTATTTATATTTTAATTATTTTTAGATAGCATTTATTTAAATAACTGATCTAAACATTATAGGCTAGAGATCTGGCATCCAAAAAAAACGTTAACGACAAATCCATGCGGGTCCGTAAAAGCTTACTGGTGGTAGGACCTCTTGGAAGTCCGTACGGGTAGGTACCATCGCCCCGTCTATTTCTGCCGTGAAGCAATAATGCGTTTCGGTTTGAAGGGTGGCCCGGGGCAGCCGTTGTAACTATACTGAGATCTTAGAACTTATATCTCAAGGTGTGTGGCGCATTTACGCTGTAGATGTCTATGGGCTCCAGTAACCACTTAACACCGGGTGGGCTGTGAGCTCGTCCACACATCTAAGCAATAAAATAAAAATAAAAAAGCGATTTTTGCCAAGACTTCTGTGTCCAAACTTTTGTTTCTGATGTCGAGATTTATAGATGTGTGTGTGTGAATGGTACCATATAACTCAATCACAGCACTCAAAGGAGTCATTCGACCATTGAATCGGTTGAATCGTCGGTATCTCGCGAGAACAATAGATTCATAACTCACGTGAGCTCAATATGCTGAGAGCAATTTTCTTATATCCCGCATATTCCTCGAACACTGTTGACGTGTTTTTAATTGCCTTTGAAGACAGACGAGAAAACGACCCAACTCGTATCAAAGTGCTCACCGGTGCTCATAGACATTAATGTCAGGGGCACAGGTGAGAGGTTGGATACGCTGGTGGTATCTTTCCTTCAGAATTATAAATGAAAGAACTCCAGGGTTTAAGAATACTTTTGAAGGTCGATGCAAATCTTGAAAATCCAATATCTACATGGAGGTCATGGTTCTCAAGCGTCGAAGAAATAAATGCAGGGACAATAAACACGCCAGCCACTCTAAGTACCGTTAATTTATTTGCCAATCGATATTTTCCAATTCTGCACCACATATCGTTAGGCTATATAAATAGGTTAGCATGGGTTAGTAGTGAGCTACCGCTGAAAATTGTGATTTATGTCAAGGTTTTCGGACGAAAGCCTCTGGGGATATAGTATTATAGCCTTTGAACCGGCACTGCAGCATTCTGATTTACTGGACTTGGCAAAGAATAGTCGTTGTTCTGAATTTTGTAGTTCGATCGATTCGAATTACGCACGAAACAGTTTTGGATCGAATAGGAGTTTTATTGCTCTTATAGGCAGACAATGTTTATTACAAATAATGATTCAACAATAATACGATTACGATTACAATAAAAAAAAAAAAAAAAACCTGTGGCACTCGGGAACTGCCGCGGTAAAGCTATTGCATAGCATTTTTTTATCAACTTATGCAATTATAATTAGACAATGATAATTTAATATTAAAACAATAATAAAACAAGGCCACGCTATATTAAACATTAATAAAAGCAAAACCTTAACTGTCCCCTTCACACTCATAAGCTAGACCGCGCGAGAGAGAGAGATGGGCAGACTTTTCATGATGCGCATGCAGTGTGACGTCACGCCACGCGCTTCNTTTTTTTATCAACTTATGCAATTATAATTAGACAATGATAATTTAATATTAAAACAATAATAAAACAAGGCCACGCTATATTAAACATTAATAAAAGCAAAACCTTAACTGTCCCCTTCACACTCATAAGCTAGACCGCGCGAGAGAGAGAGATGGGCAGACTTTTCATGATGCGCATGCAGTGTGACGTCACGCCACGCGCTTCTTCTAAATACTACACAAGCGCAACGTGTGAATGTATTGAATGCGAGCTACATGGTAGGCAGAGTGAGGGGTGTAAGGTTTTTTTCGTTACGGAATTTCATGATTCGGTCGCCGCGCTCAAGGCCCGCGACAAAAGCTATGCAATAGCTTAAAATTAAAAAGGAAATTAAAACATGAAAAATTCAGTATGTAATACAAACTCATTAACCATAAACGCAATTTTTGTAGACTGCGAGTGTGTGCATCAATTGCAAAATCTTTAATAAAAATAACAGACATGTATTTCCGGACACGATTAGTTAAATATATTACTAAAACATTCGTTTGTAGAATAAACCAAAAGACCGTGTTTCAATTGTTAGAGTAGATACAACATTTTGACAAGGGATGAAGGAGGTTCATGTTTGTGAGAGCATCGCTCTCAACAAATCTTGAAGATACCGTTTTGACAGTTTTTTATAACTAATAAGAGAAATAGTTTTGGAAAATTTATACTAATATATAAATCTACAGTGGTTTTTACGGATGTTCCGTTATAACTACTGAATCATGCATCCGATTGATTTGAAAATGGTATCCATGGCTTGGTATCCATGTAGAAAATACATGTACTTAATGGATAGGCTAATATTTATATGAGTGTTGGACTCCCTACACCAGTTGCGGGGGCGTTAATGATGAGAATCTTTGTGGGGGGAGAAATATAATGTTAATTTTAAATGACCAGCGAAGCAGACGGGTACAGCTAGTCGTTAATAAAGTTAAGAAAAATTTAAAATTAAGGTCGGAGATTTTTACACTGACTGTGATACATACATTAAATATGTTTATTCTGAATTCATTTTAAACGAACAGAAAACTTTGAAATTCGTACGTAGAAATTTAACTTGGTTAGTTAAGCTTACATTACATATTCGCACTGTGTCCATTTAAATCATATACTAAGATACTATAAGTAACTTCCAAATATTTTAGAGAGATAATTAGCCCAAAGAGTTAAAAAGCCCAATCTACAGTTAAGAGTTAACCCTCATATTATTATCTCCAGGCGTCTGCGGGCCTCAATTATCATTGAATATCGGCGATATGAACAGAACATAAAAAAATATATATGTGTTTTATAAAGGTAAAAATACCTCAAATAGTGTCATTTGAAATAGTCAAAATCATAAAAACTGTGCAAAAATGCTTTAAGCTGTATGTTTAATAGTCTAGTAATATAACTAGAATTTATTGATAGATTATCGTTTGATAATCCTATTAAAGTACTAGAACCGTCTATAATGTTCGAAAATGACCTTCGACATGAGAAACGATATACTCATACGGGACTTAACATCGGCCGTCGGTAATAAATTTTCCCAAGACAAAGTTGTCGCCTACCATGTACTTAATAAGACTTCATACGCATGTTACGAAAATTTATTAATACATCCAAAATGCCTACATGTATGTACGTACTTTACGCTTCGATGACTCATCGTATAAAAGTTGTTTGAACAGAAAATTTATGCTTAATTTTCACATGAATTTTATGAACAACAGAGTAATATCAGAGACTTGTGGCATAGGAACACAATTGTTTGGTAGTTTAATTTGAAAAAAAATCGTCTGTTTAAAATGACGCATCATTGGAAAATCCAGACAAAGCTAGACGAAGACTATTCGTTATACCCTTCGATAGAGTCCTCATTGTGCGCTGCGTTTTTGCTAGTGCGCGTGCGTTATCCCTCTACGTGTAGCTAGCTCTCTCTGTCGCACGGGAGGGGCAGTATCCTCTATCTCTGTCCCGGGAGGGTCGATCTATACGACGCTAGGTACGACTACGGTGCCATACCAAGCCAGCAGTACGCAGGTTTCTGGCGTCCGAAGCGAACGTCAGTGGTAGCCAGGCGATTACAGGAACGCAACGCGGCCGCAAAAATGACGCGCGCCGTGCTTTTTATAAGTGTTTTTACCGTACTGTTGGACGTCCTCCACGCCGGGCAGGTGAGTTATGCTTAAGAATTTTGCAGGTTTTTATTATTTCGTAGGTTATCCGACGGGTTTGGCATCGTTTCGAGGCATATGAAGCCGAAAATCGATGGCACGCGTTCACTAATGTTTTCAAGATCGTCGCAAGCTGAAAGGAAGCAGTTTACACGGCAGCGGATGCCATAAAAGTTGTTTTCGTTAACGCTTAGGTTTGAGTTTTTTTTTTTAGGTGTTCATAGATTGCGTAACACACGCCGGCGGTTTCGCCGACGGCCCGGAAAATTGGCTTTGCCGTCGGCAACTTTTTCAACAGTAACAAAAACATTCTTTTCCTTGTTTTTAGGACATATTTGAGTATATATGAAGTTTTCTTTTTATTGCGTATACTTTTAGATAGATTTTCACGAGTTTTGCAGTATAGATCGGGATTTATATAGCAAAGGGAACGGATATATAATTCTTTGGAATCTTAACATCAAAGATGACATGATAATGATCATCTTTACGTGTTATGTAATTTCTAAATCACGAAATGTTAGGGGTTTTTAAATAAACGTGGATCTTAACGTGTTAAAGCCTTAATCTAATACGTAAGCACGTTGCAAATAATTGTTCGATCGATAAATTCATAATTCCGCATTTTAAATTAAGTATAAAATTATTACGTAGTTGAAATAGTTTTTAATTATTAACTGACAAGTTTATAAAGCTACTTATCGTTCTAAAAAATCTTTTTCTCGATAAAACTCATCACGTTGCCTTGAAACTTGTAACTATACTTGAGACCTTAGAAATTATATCTCAAGGTGGGTGGCGCATTTACGTTGTAGATGTCTGTAGGGCACCAGTAACCACTTAATACCAGGTGGACTGTGAGCTCGTCTAACCATCTAAGCAATAAATAAAAACTTGAATATTTGAATAAATGAATTATAAGAGTAGGTACATCGGTTTTACTTTAACCATTTTTGTTGGAATTGAGCAATATTAAAATCCTAAGGATTTTTTTTAAATGGATTTCGAAATCCGAAATGTTTCAGCAAAAAATTAAATGTAATAAAATATATATTTAATAAATACAAATATAATTTTCATGAAATAATTATAAAACAAATACGTACAATTGAAGAAAGCACTGAAAGCTTTAAATAAATTAATTTAAAATATTATTAATATAAGTAGTGATTTATATAAATAGAGAACAACTAAAAAGACACAAAAAATATAATAAACTACAAATTCAATTTAACGAAAAAAAACTGTAATTTATCAACTTCCGAGATTCGATTTAATCAATTACAAAAATAATAAAATACAGGTTTATGTTAAATCATGTGATTTAAAGAAATATATTTAATATATTATAACATTTATATAAATTTATATTACAGAGCTTAAATCTATAACTGAACATAATATGAGATTAAGTCGGTTCGTAGTTATGATTCGAAATACAAAAAAAACGGGGGACCCCTTAAAATTAAATTACCATGAATATGGTACATGTATAATTATCATATCTAGACCGCATTACTTATTTTTAACTGTGGTAATATTTAGGGTGACACGCCAGGGACTTACGAAACTTGAACCGTGTCATAAGTATAAGCTTAGAACCATTGTAATCTAACACCTACAACGTATATTATACCAAAATTCTATTTCAACACGAGTAAAAGAAAACTCTAAATCACTGAAAAGACTGCCGTGGTATTTTTTATCACTACTTATTGATCGAAGACATAGTATAAAAAAAAGTCGCTTTTCTGTCCCTATATCTGTCCGTCCATATGGATGCTTAAATCTTTAAAACGATGCAACGGATTGTGATGCGTTTTTTTTTTAATAGATAGAGTGATTGAAGAGGAAGGATTATATGTATAATAACATCCGTTAAATAGTGGAGAAATCAATAATAAATTAGTTTTAGCGAAGCGAGGTCGGATCGCTAGTAAATAAATAAAAATATTTTGGAGCCACAACACTACTCTTTCACTTTTTAGGAATATACTTCGGAATTAATCATTAAAAATAAGGCATTCGATTTTCGTTTCGCTTAGCCCGCGTGAACTATACTTTATAACGCGTGGGAGAAGATCCGTACGCAGTAGTGGGATGAAAGGAGTGGTTTTCCAGGGCTTAAGTTATTTCTATATCGATACAGAAGTTCTTGAAAATCGATTAAGTGATGCAGAGTAATTTGGGCGTGCAGGAAAACGTAGTCGACGTACTTTGGTATTTTAACTAGTTACGCAAGCGAATTAGAATTGCTTTTCTATATTAAAGCATTTTATTGACATTAACCAAATGAAAATTATTAACGCGATCTTAGGGATAGACCGAAAAAAGTATAACAACGTAAAAATACACCGAGAACGGACATCTCTTTGAATTTTTAATTAATAATAAAATAGTGACGTATTTTTTTCTCACTAATATTCCAGAAATTGACTTGCATTACCAACTTTACACGCATTTATTAACATTTTATGATTGGTTTAGTTATTTTATACGGACTCTTTATTTTTAATTTAATCATGACTATACAAAGACAGAAAAGATATAGCAAAACGAAACTCTGTTCCATCCGGGTGTTCAAACACACTTCTTTCTTTCTTTTTTCATAAAAAGAAACAGAGTCTAAGAAGTAAAATATATAGAAAAAAGTCCGAAATCTATTCCGCAGATTTTGCGTGATGCGCGCACAACGAGAGACTATTAGTATAATTTTTTTATACAGATTTATAATATCAAAGATATTGTTAGAATAATACCTAACTGTCTACTATGGTGGTGGTTCTAAAATAAAATATGCTATAAACCATATTTTTAGTTTCACACGAAAATGACGTCATAACTGCGGTATAATTATCATTGTTAATATCATATCGAAGTCAATGCATGGTGACAGGTTAACTATTAAAATATTGTGATATAAAATAAACTTGGCAACCTTATAAATAAAATTTAGATTTTAATGTTGGTAGGACTATGTAGACTATGTAGACTGTCGATAATGACAGGTTTATTTAGTAGTATAGTGGTTCTTAGAATCATAAATTAGAGACTATTTATGTCTTAAGTTACAAGTCTATGTCTATTTCGGCATGAGTTAACATTTGTGTTAAAGGAAAATAAACTTTATGTGTCGGACTAATTGAGTTACGGTTCGATAAAATTAGGCTCGCCTTAAGTTCTTTTACGCACTTACATGAATTACCAAAACGGATAGTTTGCATTACAACCGCATGAAGTATTATCACCATCCTGGCTACTGCCTCCGTGAAGTAGTTCAATAGTGAATATTTAACCAAAACGTATTTATTATGTTGATTATGTAACAGCACGGTTATCCGGCCCCAATTTAGGAATCCCTGTGTTATATATGGGTACCAGAGAAAAATACAGAAAATATAAAATTTATTCGTTGATTTTTTTCTCTTAATTTTGACTGCTTCAAAATAATCCGCACACACGGTTCGCCGGCACCGCTTTATCTGCAAGTAATATATTCATTAATAGTAATATTATATCCATAAATAATAATCATTAACCATATAATTGCATATAATTTTTGGGAACCAATAAAGTTTAACTATATAAATTGAAAAAAAAAACGGAAAAAAAAAACAATCATTAACTGAGACCAAATCACACACGGTCATCCGGCCCCAATTTAAGATTCCCTGTGTTATGGGTATCAGAGCTCATGGGGCTCAAACTGGAGTGATGCTAACACTGAGCCTAGCAAGAGCAGTGCTTCGCAGAATCTACCACCGGATCGGAAACGCGACCCACTGAGAAGATCCAGCGAGAAACTCAGTGGGCTGTGTTTATGGGTTCATTCGCTCATCGAGCCCTTCGTCACAAGTGACGGGTTCGACGAGGACGGTGACCGGGCTTGTGATACCTAAAAGCACCGTTGATGGATCGGGAGGATCCGTAATGATGTGTTTTGGGCGATGTCGACTGTTTACCATTCGGTCTACAGGATTGGGTATATAGTTTCCAGCGGCCACGATAAAAGGGTTCTCATGTCGTGCCGCCTTTTCAACGTGGCGCGATGATGCCGACTGTAGATACTAGCTCACCAAGCGAACCAATAGTTGTGTGTAGTTAATATCGAAAATCGACTCTTTCAACGAACGGTACTTAGTTGGTTCGCTTGCAAATAACGCAATACAAACGTTCTGTAATAAAAGGTATAAATTCAGAGTTATTACACGGAGACTCATTCACGTGTAGAGGCGAAGGGGTGCGCGTTCGTGCCAGGCTTTATAGCATGATAAAATAAAGAGCAAGGCAGACTGGCCAGCTACGGAATCATAAATCCCCGATACTGAGACTCGTGCCTCTTGATTTAATCGTGACTCCTTAAGCGTTCGTGAATTTGATAAAAAATAATAAATGTAAGGAAAATATTTTCGTAAAATTTCATAAAAATCTATACAGGTCGATTTTGTTTTGTTCAATAATCAAATATCGAAACGTATTGTTCTTAAGTTTACGAAGACAATCTAAATCTAATTAATTAAGCTTTGCCATAATTAATAGAGATAATCGTAATGATTCTTGTTGTTTTATACATAATATTATTATAATAACACAAGATAATTTCGCGCGTTTCTAATTGACACATAAATCAAATTTACATTCAAATTATTTCCATTACTGTTTAATATGAATTATGAAAACAAATTTCATAGCAAGAAATTATTTAAAAAAAAACAATGAAAAAAAAAAGACAAATTGTTTATTGTATCTCCGTTTTCGAATTCGGTAACGTTGAAAGGAGAATTCTAAGAATTTACATAAAGTTCTATTTACGTGTTTTATCGCTGGGGAAAGGTTATACATACATTTAATGCTGTAATGTATTAAACTCGTATGAATTCTCGTAATCCCTTTACCCGTTGGCGTTGCTACCTACGGTTTAATCGTTTCTTTCTTTTCCATGAATAAAGAGATTTCCACTCTGGCCCATTGTTTTAGAATGAATCTAAAACTCTTTTGTT